TTTTGTTATCCTCATATACACAGATGCGAAAACTGATGGTCGTCAACTGATGCTTATAGAGTTTAAACTCCTACGTGATGGAACTGGCACCAAACTCACGTCTGACCATGACCTTGGAACAGGAGTTACTGGTAATGAGGGAGGAGTCCGTGCCCAAAATTCTCTCCCTAAAGCTTCCATCATAACACTGCGCCTCTCATAGGCCCAGGTGCATCTTGTGTAAGCCTTTTAAGCAAAATATGGAAATTAAAGCAGAGTCTCTATTACGAACTGTGCTGGCACCTGGCAATGTCATAACATGAATTATACAATAAAGCAAGGCAATTATGCCAAAATGATTAATCAAAACTACTAAGAAACTTATAATATTATCATATATTAAGATTCATCCTCTGCATATGTCTAATTCCATACTCAAAATTATACTAAGCCAGACTCAGTCCTTGAGCATAAAAGAGGAACCTTTTCTCTGCCTCCCCCTCGCCTTTTCTTCCTAGATAACAATCATAATAAGGCTAATTTAAACGCCAGGCTGTGCAGCTCACACAGATTTTCATATAGAATCTGACTCTATCACCACAGTGACACTGTGAGGTTTGAGTCGAGGTGTAAAATATCTTATTTTAAAGATGACAATTGTTAAGCACAGAAAGTGTCCTTGGCTTGCTTAATTTTGTTAGGGACATCATGACCCTTCAGCCCACAAACTGCTGTGGAGCAGAAGAGGGGCATCCCTGCCGGCTGAAAGAGGCCCCTTATCCAGCTCAACAGCTGCCTGGTAGTGGGCATTGCCCATCCCTCAAGCCTGCACAAACCAACTTTCCTCCTAGCCTCCGTCATCATTAGGTGCCACATCCCCCTCTATGGCGTTCCTGTGGCTCCTGGACGCCTCTTAAATCCAATGAAAAACTCCTGAGTTGGAGTCTCTGCTCTTCTAGGAAACAGCTGGTGTGTTTTCAGCTTAGTGTTCTGCTCAGGCTGTTACAGCTCCATCTTTCTGTGGCACTGCTTATAAAAATCTCCTGTGCCAATCCCATTATTTCCCTTTAGGTCATAACCCCTTCCCAAGAAGGGCCCAGGCTGTTTTTCTGTCTGGTGTCCTGCTTGCCTGTGACCTTCCACAGCCTGGCCTGAGTGGATGCCAGGTGCAGGCCGATGACCTGATGACCAAATGAGCAAGCGGCTTGGACGAGGGCCTGGGCTGTGCCCTCTAGGACCAGCCGGTTTTACCTAACAGCTTGAAATGAAACCCCAGGCTTTTATGGAAGTGAGAGGGGAAAGGAAAAATAATAAATAATAAAGGAAAAATCAGTGGAGATAGGAGAGAACCGATGTAAAGAGAGAAAAGCATTCAGTACAGGGACTGAAACCCTGGACGGTGGAGGGAAGCGGATTCACCGGTTGGCTTCCTGACCTGAGCTCTCTGCCGGCTCCACTTAGGATCAGTCTGAACTCATCACTCTCGCCTGTCCCTTTTCTTTCTCTGGATGCTGTGGAGGCCGGGAGCTGGCTGGCTGCATGGGACAGGCCAAGTGCCCCAGGCGGCCTTAGAAACGGTCCCCTTATTGTTTCTTTATGTTCTCAGTTTACAAGGTAATTTCTTCACGGAATGAGACTAAGTGGATTCGCACAGCATTCCTCCCTCCTAAAGACCTGAGTAAATTAAACATGCTAGATGCACGATTAACGTCCCACTTTAATTTACAGAGCACTATCCCATCTTTAACCCTCAGAGAGCTCTAATGTGTGAGGATCTCAGAGTCACATAAACATGAAAAGAACACAGCCTAGAAAACAGAAGTCACTTCACCAGAATTCAATTTCTCCACTTGTATTAGCACCAGCAAATGTGAGGAGGCGGCTGGTAAATACGAGGAGGAGGAGAGAAATGAAGGCTCCTGCTTGGCCCTAAGGCCCACCTCTGGGCCTCACCATCGCACCTGGTAGGTAAGTCGCATACAATCATCCCCAGGTCAGTCGCTAGGGTTTGAGGGTCAGCGGCACAGTGAGCCCCAGACAACATGCAGCAGGCAGGAGGCACGGCCCGGACAGAAAGCCCGGCTCCCCGCCTGCAGCTTTCTGAGAAATTCTAGCCTTTTTGGGAAACGACGCTGCTCTCGGTTCCTGGAGGAGACGCTTGGAAAATAATAAGGAATTGGTTCAGCTTATAGCTCTACGGGAAAAGCATAATCCACAGACAGGGAACGTCACGAATTTGTGCTTCCTCTTAATATAACTTTTCTTAATGTTAATAATTAGAGGGTAATACGGTGATTCTATTTGAAAATGGAACAGAACAAACGGCGTGCTAAGTAAACAGAAGTCAAGTCCACACGTGGCCGTCGCCTTCGGTCACCGCCTGAGCACCAAGCCACTGGTAGGAAGCTTTTCTATAACAAGCATGTTCTCTTAAAAGTCTTGATTCCTTTACTACCCGTAAAACGAAATAAAACTCTGTTTTAAGCAGGAAGTCGACTGTAGGATTGGAATGATTAAGATAGAAATGACCGTCTAATACTCCTACCGTCCCGGGAGCCACTTCCCCCCGATTAATTTGTTACCTCATTTCTCCAGCATAAGATGTTTAAAAATCCCACAATCGGGCCTACCTTTTAATTCAGAACTTTCGACGCAGACGAGTCATGATGGGCGAATTTGCTGTTCCTCGAATCTGCCGCCTTCGGTCCGCTTTCCTTCCCTCCTTCCCCCCCTCTTCCTCCTGTCCCTTCCTCTCCTCCTGTTCTCCCTCCTGGTTTCTGCGTTTGTTTGGTCTTTTCACGTATCCTGACCTCTCCCAGGTTGTTCCTCTCCCCTCTCCTCGCTCCAGCTGCCAGCTGGCCCGGACGGACCACAGATTGGCTCTCGGGAGTGAGGGCCTCGCCGCCCTAATAGGCCCTGATTCAGAACAGTGGCTGGCTGTTCACTTTATTCCATCATTGAACCACTGGAAGATTATTTTATGAATTTAAAAAAGGAACTAAAGGAATAATTTATGCCATTAATTTCATCAGTCTTTTTTAGGGAAATGTTGTAAAAATGAAGCATCAAAGGCTTTTTTGAAAATAATTGAAATGTTTTACAGGTTTGATTGAACGACTTGGCCCTAGGGAGGCTCTTAATGGTTGATTAACAATGTATTTCAGCCTGCTTTTCCCTCTGTAACCTAAAATTACTCTAGCTAGGAGTGTAATCCTCAAGTTTTTCATTCAGGGAACCCCAAAGAGCTTTAAGGGTCACATTCAATTCTAGAGTTATTAACAATAATATAGTGATTTCCCTTTTGAAAAACCACTTGTGTACTTGGCATTGTTGCAGAAAAACCTACAGGGTAAGAGTCTGATTCTTTATGTAACTCTTTTAAAACCTGGGCCCCTGTGTTTCGATCTCAGCCCAGCACTGCCTTCAGAAAACAGTTAAACAGCTGAAATAATTACAAATAATTTTATTTCTTTATAAACTGGAAGATTCTAAATACCCAGTTCACTGCAATTATTAAATGCCCTGTAGTCTCTTGTCCACTTTCCTGCCTAAGGCCACTGTCTTCAGGTCCAGAGCAACTCTTCCTTTGCTCCCCTCAACAGATTTGATCTTACGCAGTTGTGCCTTTTGGTTGCTGATTAAGCAATCTGAGAAATGTTTGTTGTTTTTGTGCCTGGTGCTAGGTCATCTGAAGTCAGCAGGGTGGCAGTTTGGAAGGAAGATGGGCCCTGGCCCATGTGGCCTAGTGGTTAGAGCATCAGCTCAAGCACTGAAGGGTCATGGGTTCGATTCCCAGTCAAGGGCACGTACCTCGGTTGCAGGTTCAGTCCTCGACCGTGGTTGGGGTGCATGCCGGAGGCAACCAATCGATGTGTCTCTCTCACATCGATGTCTCTCTCTCTTTCTCTCTCCCCTTCCCTCCCTTCCACTCTCTCTAAAAAAATCAATGGAAAAAATATTTTCAGATGAGAATTAACAAAAGAAAAAAGAAAGAAAGAAAGATGGACATGAACCGGGAGAGACCAGGGACAAAATGGAACCCGTGAGGATGAGCTGGGACCTGCATTAATTTCTCACTGCCTCCAACTTGGGTGGTTCAGATGTCCTCAGGAGAAGGTGATGAATTCACCATGGAGCTAAATATGCACCTGGCCTAGGAGTGTGAGAAACTGAAGGAGGCTCCGGGGGGAACTTTGGGAGCTCCAGGCACTGCTGTCCTGCAAACCAGGTCAGCCAGCAGAGCAGGGACAACCTGTGTGTGCTGTGGACGCTCTGCTGTGCCATTCTGAGCATAAAGATAACGATTGCTGCTGCTAAACCCTGTTTCCCAATCCCATGCAAAATGCCTTTTGTGGTCCATGATAAACCAGAACAATGTAAGGAAAGAGAATTTTGGAAAATGTATTTTGTTACATCAATGCAATAGGAACCCAGCACAGTAGTGGGAGGTAGGACTGACTTTCTGCAAGACCACAGGGTAGTTCCTTCTGTACTCAAGACATTTGCATGCTGTTAGCTTCAATGGAGTAAGTAGATGCATTTAAATTTTAAACACAGTGTGTTAGAATTCTAACAAGGTCACTATTAAACTTCAGTTAAATGCATAATAATCTGAGCTCCATGTTGAAAAGGACATTCTTGATCCACAATTATTTAGATACATAGAGCAATGGTAGGCCCGTCTTTTCTCATAAGTCCTGCTTTCAACTAACTTTATGATTCAGTAAAATAACTGTCAGTGCATGACCATGTAAAATAACCATGTTATTATTAACTGTGTTACTATTGACCATGTTAATATATGAACATGTGAAACTGTTTTACATGGCCAAAACTTATCATTTACATTGGTTATCTAACAGCCAAGTTATTGCTCATCAGAGATCTTGATAGCTGGACAAGATTCTTTCTTCAAAAATATGTATGGATTGGAGATTTTGCACACTTGGCGCCAAAGAAATTTTCTCAACCTTCTCATTATTCAGAAAGTAATTAAATTAAAATCAATGAAATAGATTACAAATAAGTCAAAAATGAAAAAAAGTTTGTAATCTTGTGGTAAAGATATAAATTGGAGGCATTGGTTAAAATTTGTTTCTATTATTACTGACATTTGTAATCTAGAAGCCTTAAACTTGAAGATATTCAATTCAATATATACATCCTTATAAAATTCTATTTGACAATCTAAGTGTTAAAATGGTTCAAAAACAGGCATACAGTAAGTATGAAGGTCTTCAATATGTTTATCCAGTGATTTTTAAAAATATTCCTTATTTTTGGACAATATTCTTAATCTCTTAAATATCCATTATGTTGATTTGAATGGAGCAAAGTAATAAAAATCATTGTGCAACGATTTCATCAATGTGAATGAAACATGATACGTCATAAAGTGCAAGTGACTCCAGCGTCTTCTGCATGTGAACAGGCTCTCACGCCCCACTGCCGAATTTTACAGCCTTCAATAGACGATTCTCTCCCAAAACAAAATACTTCATTCAGCCATATCGGACCAATACCTACAAAAATCAGATACAATCACATTAGTCAGTACAGTGTTTATGTCTGAGTGGAACAAAGCCATTTATTCACTCACTAATTTAACAAAATGTGTTGGTCATTTTCTATACCCAAGCCCTCTGCTCTTTATGAGGATTCAAAACCAAACCTCCGCCCCAGAAACCTTTATATTCTGTCAATGTGTGAAATACTAAAATCCAAAGTGGAAGAGCTATAACAAAGGTACACAGTTCTACAAAATTATAGATTAAAGGATGATTGGTTTCCTCTAAGCATTTCACAAATTATTTTTTAAAATAAGAAAAGAAATAAGCTTCAATAATAATGGATACATGTAATGACCTGATGATCCAAGTGCATGGGTCAGAGGCAGACCTGGACCCAAGGTATCCTGGAGTTCTTTTCTTAGCTTCCATGTATTTCAATTTTATGTGCCTGGTGTAGCAAACATTATCTATTTTTAATTAAGTGAAGACCACTACACCCAGCAAAGGGCTTACAAACTGTCCTGCAAGAAGACCACGGATTCTTCACTGTAAGCACACACAGAAAATGACACCGCTCACACTCTTCTGAACTATTCCTCAGACACTTCAGAAGGCAAGACAAAGGCTGTCAGAGGCGGGCTACCTAGAAGATATTCATCTAAATAAACTTAACTGCCACTTGTAAGATAAGGATGGTGTTTTATCAATGAATAAGAAAACAAGTGCTTTTTTAAAAGGAATTCATAGCAAGGAAAGATAATTTTAAAACTGAAGACCTGGAAATGTTTTCTGATATTCTCTAAAAGTTTCCTAAGTGGTTCATATATTAAAGTTCTTTCTTTTAGTCTCAAGACAGTTAGAAACAGAACCTCTGAAAACTTCTAAGTGAATGATTTCATTGGGTTTTGTTAAACATACAATATTGCAGACCTCCTAATGAATTTCAAGAACATTTCATGCCATCAAGAAACTGATGATTTAGCAGCTAAATTTCAACAAACACCTTAGCAAACTGGTGGAGAATTTTTTTCATTGGGATCATGTTAAAAGGTTCTCTTTCGGTCAGAAGAGCTATATAAAACATTTAGAAATACTAAATTCAACTTACAAACAGACCTTTGGGTAGCTATAAAACAGTTAAATCAAGCCTTGTTTTTCAAAGAGGCATAAATAATAGCACATATTATAGCATTGCTCTTACTGATTTTTCAAATATTCTGTGAGCTCAATAAATAACAATATGTGCATGATTAACAATGTGTATAATATATAGTAGCATATGCATATTATATAAGAATAAATTAACAGATGTTGAGAATTTTATAACAATGTAGATAAAATCTGACCCAACTTCAAAAAATGGATAGAAGTTTCCATGTATATAAAAAAAAGAATCCATTCCGTATGGGGGCGCAGCATGAACATGCTTGAGGTTTTAGAATAGTTAACAGTCTCCTGGCTTCCTTTTAAACACAAACCATATTAATGAGGGAAAAGGAAGGTTGAATAGAAAGCTGGGACCGTGCTATAAAACTTTTTGAATTTTATATTGTGAGCTACAAAAAGAAAGGACATCATAACTGCATTTTAGAATTGTGTGTCTGGCAGAAATATGGAAGTTAAATTGAGGAAGAATCTATAAGTTCATAGGATGTCCATGTAGACATTTTCTGTGATGACTCATATTTTTATTTACTTTTTGAATTAGACAGGACATTTTGATTTCTACACATAAAATTAATTGGTACAATCACTTAATTTTTTAATAATTTGTGCCTTCACTAGAAAGATCCAAATACAAGACAAAATCATATTTTGGTTTACATTATCAAGGTAACTAGGAACATTATATTTTTCATGTAATGTAATAGTAATTAAGTCATTAGGGTTTGAACAATATTTCTATTGAAAAAGCAAAAACTATCCTCGACTGATCAATTGTAAGAGTGGAACCCAAAGAGCTTGAATGTGTTAGAAATGTTCACACGGGTACTGAGCCTTTTCGACTTGAAGTTTAAAGGCAGATTAACAACTTTCATTCTATACTCAAATTACATACCTAGTTTGTTTGTTTGTTTTTTCCTAGCAGCCTCTAAGCTAAATATTTAAACTAATTTCTTGTTTGCTTTAATTGTGAAACTTACGTCGATACCATTAAACATTTACATTTTAAGAAAAAAATAAAAAGATTAGGGATATATGTTCTCGAAATCGGAAATCTTCCCAGGAACACTTTTTGGTTCCCAAATTGCTCTAGTAGAGATATCATGGTCCCTTTGGTATTTGTGAGTGTTTGTATATGTGAGTATGTTTGTGTGTGTTTTTAAAAAAGTACAACATATAAAGTCTATACCAACTTTTTGGAAGTCCCCAAGGGTTACTCAGAAATATAGGCAAATAATGACAATTGCACAGATAATAAAACTACTCTCATGTTAACATGGAAGGGAGTAAGCTAGTGGGACATTTATAAATTGCATTTGCTACATTTATGGACTTTTATAATTCGTATAAATAAACATGAGCAAATTTTCTGTGAAAGCTGTGGCTCTATCACAATCGGGAGCATGAGCATGGTCTGGATGTGAGGTGTCTTCCCTGGGAGGCTGTGATGCTCTCACTCACCACATTTTGTAGATCTAGTCGTTGGATTTGATCTCAGCAGTGTGGAAGTTTTACAATCCAGGAAAAGAGAATTCAGAGTGAGGCCTCCCGATGGCTGTAACACCAGCAGGGCCAGCCTCACAGGGGCAGGCCAAGATAGATGTTATTTAGTTAACTGACATGCTGACATGCACGCACCAGTTTTTAGAAACCACAGTAGAGGAATCCATGAGTGTTGGAATACCATTCTGTAGTAATAATGAATATTTCGGCACACTCTTTGAAGAATTTACAATGCAGCCAGACACATTCAAAGTGCTTTTGATGTGTTATCTTATTGAGACCTCAAATAACCTTAAAAAGTTAAGTGCTTCTATAGTTCCAGTTTACTGTTGAGGAAAGCAAAAATTGGAGACAGTAAGTAACTTTGCTCCAGGCCAAGTAGCTAACGCACGGTCGAGCATTGCCCCTGCGTCCGCCTAGAGCTGGCCTCTAATCAGTGATTTACTGCAATGCTCTATGTGATTAGATTCAGTTTTTAGTAGATGTTTTGAGTGCCTACACAAGTGAACAAAATCAAAATCCATCTCTCTCACACTGACCTCCAAGGGGGGACTTCATCTGACTTGTTTTAGGCAGATGGAGCCACTGAGGTCACATGCGTAACTAGTGGCAGAACTGACACTTGCATCTAGAACTCCTAGCTCTTAACCCAGGGATATGAAAGACACATTGTGCCATCCAGTAACTCTGGTCTTTTCTATGTGGAAAGATTCAGACACAGTGAACATGTTTTCAGATACAGTGAACATACTCTTTTCACATACAATTTTAAAAATTTACTCTTCTAATAATGTAAATAATGGCAATTATCTCCATTTCATGGGTAAAGAAACTGAGACTCAGAAAGGATGAATGGCTTTCTCAAAGAGAACAGAGCCAAGCGACAGAACATAATGCCCTTTACAACTTGGTGATATTTATTGACTACATAGGAGTCCAAATAGAGCTATAAAAGTAATGTTCAAAGATTTGTCATTTTATTTTTATATTAATATATTCAGGACTATTGAGCCTAAGGGAAAAATTTACTTAATATGCATTTCCCATATCCTTCCAAATTGTTTTCGGCATTAAAAATTAATGCTAAGGTAACACAAAATTAATAAAATTTTATCTTCATGCAAACCTCAAAGATAAAAAAGCAAATTTGTTTATTATTTCTTCAGGTAATAACTGTTACTCAAGGATTTTGTTGCTGCTGCTGCAATTGTTATTTTTTGCCTCCAAACTGTCTTTTCTACTTGGTGGGAACCTATGCAAAATTGATGTGTATATTTTATTTTATTTTTTTTATATTCTTTTAAAATATATCTTTATTGATTTCAGAGAGAGGAAAGGAGAGGGAGAGAGAGAGAGAGAAACATCAATGATGAGAGAGTCGTTGATCGGCTGCCTGCTGCAGGCCCTCGACGGGGGATGGAGCCCTGATCACCGGGATCCTAGGTCGACGCCCAACCGCTGAGCCAAGCCCAGCTGGGCGACGTGTACATTTTAGATGTTTTTATTCTCTAATCCTATTTATTATCTATCTATCATCTATCATCTATCATCTATCTATCTACCTATCTACCTATCTACCTACCTATCATCCATCTATCTATCTATCTATCTATCTATCTATCTATCTATCTATCTATCTATCTATCATCTATCTATCTATCATCATTTACCTATCTGTCTACCTAATCATCTACACACCTTCAATTCCCTTTAAAATTTTAGGGCTTTGGGGGCCAACTTGATTGGCTTGTTGTTTCCAAAGCAGGCAATGACCAATGTGTTGTCCACAGCTTCTGGGGGTTTATGAGCTTGGTTTGTGATGCTTGAGAGTGTTCTTGTCAGAGGATACCATTTCCCCTTCATCTGCTTTTTTAAAAAAAAATACAGATACTGTTGTTCTTTGAGGGATTTGAGTTTCTTTAATCTAATCTTCAGTAACCCGCCACGTTTATGGGGGGAAAAAGGGAGGGGAATCAGATTTTATACAGTAGCGAAATATATAGCAAAGTGATGAGACTTGCGATGAGCTGCTGAATAGATCTGTGAGAAAATAAAACTCACAAATGGTTAAAAATCTCTGCATGAATTTGAACTAAATCCAGTTATGGCTGGGTGACACGAATTTGTATCAATTTTAGGACTTCTAATAGGGAAGTCCTTTGTCAACAGCTTCTCAAGAAAAACATTGTTTTTCGGATCAAAGTTGAACACTGGACTGGGAGTCAGAATAGAAGATAGTTCCACAGACTCACGTTCTGGATTCGAGCTCTGTGGCTCTAAAGAAGGCACTATTCTCTCTACTTCATTACACATGCGAAATAAAGGGTATGGCTAAGGAATCTCTAAGGTTTCCTTTCCCGTTAAATTCTAGGATTTTAAGATTTCGAAGGAGTGAGCTCTTTGGACACCAAGCTCTTAAGGATAAAGAACTTAGAACATTCTGTCTAGAGAAGAGACAGGTTAAGATAATGAATCTAGACTCTCTGCCCTTCACCCCCCCCCCAAAAAAAACACCACCCCCACCA